TTTTTTTTTTTTTTCAAAGTAGAGTACTATTTTGTAAGGAGTCATTATATTTTGTAGGACAAATCCCTTCACCTTATGTTTATTATTTTCAAGAAAATCAAGAACTATAGATATTTTGCTATTCCATGAATGTTTTAAAATTAGCATTTGATATTTCACAAAAATCCTCATTGGAATTTTGAATGAAATTTCATAAAGGTTTTTTTTATAAATATGATTTTTTTTTAGTTGTAGGTGGACACGATGCCTTTATTTTTATTTATTCATTTTTATGTGGTGCTGAGGATTGAACCCAGTGCCTCGCCCTTGCTAAATGAGCGCTGTACCACTGAGCTATAACCCCAGCTGGTAGTGGTCATTTTTGTTAGATATATTTGTAGATACAAGGATTTTGTTTTTGTTTTTTGGTACAAGATATTGAACCCAAAAGCATTTAACCACCGAGCCACATCCCTACCCCTCTTTTTTTTTTTTTTAAATTTTGAGATAGGGGCTCACTAAGTTGCTTAGCGCCTTGCTAAATTGCTCAGGCTGGATTTGAACTTGAGATCTTCCTGCTTCACTGTCCTGAGTTGCTAGGATTATAGGCATGTGCCATTGTACTGGGCTGTAGACACAAGTTTTTTTGTTGTTGTTTAGATACAAGTTTTGATGTATCTTTTAGACAAGTACATTATCTTTTAGACAAGTACATTGATTTAATTTTTATATTATAGCTAGCCATTTTCCTACTGTTGACATTATTATAATCATTAATAATTGGTACTTAGGGTTGAACCCTGGGGTGATTAACCACAGAATACATTCCTAATTCTTTTTTTTTTTTTTGTTTTGTTTTCAGCACTGGGAGACTTAGGGATACTCTAGCACTGAGCTACACCCCTTTTTTTTTTTTTTTTGAGATGATCTCACTAAATTGCTGTGGGTGTGACTAAATTGCTGAGGCCTGCCTCAAACTTGTGGTCCTTCTGACTCAGGCTCCCAAGTCACTGGGATTTCAGATATGCCCCATGTGCCTGGCCATGTTGACATTATTATAATCAGCCTCCATGTTACTTATAGATAGTTTGGGTTTTCTATATGAACAGTCATATTCTGTGCAAAAATATCATTTTTTTTCTTCTAATCCAATCCTTCTTTCTTTGTTTGTGTTTATCCTATCTTAGTATAATGGCTAGGGACCG